GGGGGAGCATCACAAAACCGCAACAACAGGTCGTGCATTTGGATGCACTTCTGTAATTTCCTTCTCGGTTCTTCCAGTCATTGCGGGCGGACGAGAAGTTACGAGATGGTAGATGATGGCATAAAGAAGGACTAAATGCTTGTATTTGTGGAGAGGAGGAGGGGAGGGGGGAGGAAGAGGTCGACTTGGAGGCTAGTCCCTCCAGCGATGGGAGAGACGAATAGCAAAATGGACCGCTAGTCAGATGAGTAGACAAATAAACAGAGCAGCGCATTGTCACTTCTCTTCTACGTCACACATTGCCAACGCACACCTCTCGTGCCAACCGTCACTGCAAGAATGCGAGTCAGTCACGCCAGACCACAGTTAGCATGAGTTGGGGAGCTCGTAGTTGACCTTCGGCATCGGTTTCATCCAAAATCTGCACTCACGCTTGGTCTGAAATCTCCAATCGGTGCGAGCCTATTTCTGTAGACCATCAATGGAGTCCAGGTCGAGACGTCTTAGAACGTCAAACAATCACAGTCTCGTGTAGACTGCGATAAGGAGAATTTTGAAGTCCTCCTTTCCCTCCGATTAATGGCGGTGTCGTTTCAGTTATTAACAGCTTGTAAGTGAAACACGAAAACTTCGTCTTCTGCCTTTTTGCTGTGCGGTAGCTTGTCGTAGTTGGCTTTCCACTGTGACCAGTTGATAGAAGAAGGCGCAAAAGCGTTCAATGCAATGTCATTGACAAAGCACTCCTTTTTCCACGGATCCGGACGGTGTTGCTCCAGTTATTAACAGCATGTTAGTGGAACAGGGAGATGGAGCAAAAGGCAAGCGTAGACATCGTCTTCAGTCCTTCTCTTGGGCAGAAGTTGAAGTATCTTCCGCCGAAGATTGTCACAAATGGTGGTGGTGGCTCTCCTGAGGCCTCCCAGTTGATGGAATAAAGCATAAAGGGGGGGGGGGGGGGGAGAAATTGAAAAACCTTCAGATCAGCCTCAAATGTCAGCCCATGAGGTCAAGGACAGGAGGGTCAAAGGTAGACGCCAGATATACAGGCTGTCGACTCGATGCGGATCTCTGCAGTACGACCTGTCAACCAAGTCGCTTCCTTGTAGACTGCCTCACTGCTCAGGGAGTTACTGCTGTTTTGAAAAATGATTTTAACTGGGAAATCAGGTGGTGTTAGGTTCTTGCGTCTTAAAAATTTCCCATCAACAACACTGGAAGCCATTGTGCTAGAGTACGGCTTAGCAGAAGTACCAGGAAGTGATAGTCCACGCAACAAGGTGTTTTACAGCATTTTTTTAAACCCACTTCACATCAACCATCTCACAGCGTAGATCGAGGCTGATTTGGCAATGAAAGGTGACGTGTCGATCTCAACCACCTCCCTGAGTCTGTAAATGCCTTTTCACCGCATCCTCCAACCACAGGGCTTTGTCATTCCGCACCTTCCATCACGAGTCGTTACAATCAAATATAAGTAGTAAAATTAGCGATGGTTGTGATTGTCACCACCATCAGTTCTTCATGTCGACTACTTGCGTGCGCCGAGCGCCATACCGCCAAGAAGGTGAAAAATAAAGACGCCACTCAACCAAAGTTAAGTCACTCCAAAATTGTGCAATGATGTCCTCCACGAGGCGCCCTCCCCTTGACCACTTCGGGCTTAGAGAAGTTACGTGAGCAGAACAATCGAAAGGTGAAGAGGTGTTAATTTGCGTATGACAGAGGAAGTGAATCGTTGTGGAGTCATGTGATTGGGACATTGTGTGCCACGCGAATGTCCTGTCAGCACGAGAGTGAGTGCATGCGAGGTGCTGATACAAGTGCGTCCATATCGCATTCATTGAAAGGCGGTGTAGATCGAGAGAGGAGTGCTGTTGCCCTACCGTCTCACTCTCCACCAGGACCTCATCGTCGGTGTCTCAGCCTCAGCTACTCATAATTTAGGGAAGAGGACGTAATTTTACCCAAAATGTTTCCTATCGCATTGTCGATTAAGTAGTCAAGTCGAGGCCTTCTCAACTGCCTTATTCAGGTTTGACACTTTGTTAGACAGCACTGCCCTTCGGTCCTCTGACCGACAACTGGTAATGGGCAGAGGAGTTGTGCTGCCTAACGCACTTCCTCTCCAATTCCGAACAAATCGTTTAAGGGAATTTTCTGCTGTATTGTATACGCTGTAATGTTGCAGCACGGGTTGTATTGTTCAAAATTGCCCTTACTAGGTGAGAAGGGTGGCTTGATTTAAAAGGCGGTGCTCGAGGAGTGTGCCGTACACCGGCTGGGAGCACAGCAGTCACGTCCTCACTTTCTTTTCAGCCTTTTAAATGTCGATGGAAGCTGCATGGAAGAAGGGTTCCGATGGGAGGGTTGGAAATATACACAAAGCGCTTTATTATTAGCTCAGACCTCTGATTGCGTTTCACGAGCACTTATAAGGCTCCGACTTTGTCCTCCCTCCTCGGGGGCAGACCCTCATCCCTACTGCCTCGACATTAATGACAAATTCCCTTTGTTTAAACTAGCACTAAAATTGTAAGTGTATTTTATTTCAAATATTCTACTGCCATCTTTATGCTCCTGTCCTTCTTCAGCGCCCACTGGTAACAAAGATAGAATTTCTCGAACAATACCTCCAGACTCCGTAAAAGAGACATCAACTTTGCCTTAAGTTTACTTTTAAATTCTCCCTCGTCATAAACTTTAACCAGAACTTTAGGTCCCGTTATAAGTAAATCACTACTTAAATTGGTTATACACTTCAAGTAGCGCAATTTTAGCACACGGAGGTCTACGAAATCAAATACCGCAGTAAGCATTGACAAACAGTAACAAGTTTTCTTTTGACAAACTGGTACAGTAAAAGTCTCCAGTCATTAATTTAGTATTTTCCTTCATAATTTCGTCTTAGACAAATAGCCACACTCCTAAATCTCCAGGCAAAGATGTCTCATTTACTCTAAGGACTTATTACAAATGTTTTGAATACCGAGTTCAGACTTTGAATTAAATTTGGGATTGATGGGATAATAATAATACCAGTGCAATAGGAGAGTCGCAGCAATATAAATAAATAAACTAGAAGTCGCATTGAATGTGGTGAAAATTCAGCACAACCCAGAGTGAAGTGGCTCGGCTCTAGTGGACATCTCTGAGTTGGGGGAAAGGGATCTCCTGCACCTCCTGCCGAGAGGTCAATGCTTCCGTGATAATGAATCGGACAGCAATCTACTCTCGGTGTAAACCTTTGTTTATGTGACTACCTAAGGTTCGGTGGTCATTTGAGGATTTGCCTGGTCCTTATTGTAGCGTCCCGAGGCTTCCCATAGGGTAGTAGAAGGCATATGAGGTTGAATATATGTATTCCGAAGAAAGCAAGAGAAATGGGGCCTGAGCATGGCCCGAAGGCCAGCCCACGTGTACGGGGATCGGGCAAATTCTGAAGTGTCCGCCTAACGTTATGTGGTCACATAAACAAAGTATTACACTTATACTCGTGGACTGACCTTCGGGTCATGCCCAGGCCCATTTGCTCTCTTCTCTTCTGATTGCATATATCCAGCCTCACTTATTGCAATCTTCCTCCATCCTATGGGAAGTCTCAGGACGCTGCAGTGGTAACAGCAGAATACGAATCGGATTTTTTCCCAGCTACTTCTATCCTAGCATGTACTGTTTGTTGCATGTGTCTACAGTGCGGAAGAGACGTATTTGCATCGGTGACGCAGAACCTCTCCATCCCTCACAACGAAAGGCTTGAGACTGACGTCTGCGTTTGGCTTCACCTTATTCCTGTGCTCAACAGGCAAGCTATTAACTGCTGAAGCGACACCGCCGTGAACCAGCTGGAAAAGTTTCGTGGCAGATTTTTTCCTACCAAATCCGTGTTTAGGTGTTGGTAATGACACTACGGTCCTCCTTACATACGGGACAGTGGCTCATCCCGTTTCCCTTGTAACGCATATGTTGTAGACCAGTTTCACAGTCTATTACTGGAAGCACTTGATGGTCAAGAGGTGTATGCGTTTCCGAATCTGGTTGTCAGACCGAACGTAAATCCCGATGCAGTTGAAGCTGTCGAAAGGACCGGGAACAGTTCCCCATTCTCAGGTGGGTGCTATCTTGTAGTACCGAGCATGTTGTGATAGTTGGTGCGGGAGGTGTAGGGGAGGGAGGAGGAGGGGAGCACTAAGGAGATAGCTCGAAAGGAGAGAGGTGCAGTGTGATGCTTCGTTTATGCGACTATTGGACCTTTGCCTTCAGGCAGTGCTCAGACCCGTTTGCTCTGTTCTCTTCTTATAGGAAGTCTCGGAATGCTACACTCAGGTCTCACAATAATCCATTGAAATAAGAATTTTTGTCCAAATGGATCACATTTAATTAATGGATATTTAGGTGTTCATCTGCCGCTTCCTTTTTTTTAACTACATTTATCGGCTTTAGGACAGAGTAGTGGTAATTCAATTCCATTGCACACGAAAACCGGTTACCATGTCTAGGGTTGATTAAACTGTTGTGTGTGCACGATAAGTGGGTGTGATTGGAAGATGATTGCCTCATCATCGGATGATGTGGGAGGGAGTGCCGCCTCGAGATGCTGTTCCTGGGCACTGGAGAGGTTGTCCATGCACCCCTGTGCTCATTATAAGGTATGCAAATTGTGTTGTGGGCAAACACATATAGTTGCCTGGTTCCCTCATATCACCGATACGAGGGGTAATAAAGGGCCTCGTTCCAGCACAAAGGCTATGCAAGAGGCAAAGATTTGAAGCCCCAATTACAAACTGACGTATTTATAATTATGCTACCAGCCTGCCAAAGGGTCTGCCTCCTTGCAATTTTGTAAATAAAAGGTACTATTTTATTACTTTTCATTGTAGTGCCAAAAGACCTTTAGACTGCTAATGGAGAAGTGTCCATGAAACCGAATTGGTGTGATAAAAAAATAAACAAATTTGTGCATTGTTAGCCTTTGAATTTTATGCCTTGCCCAAGGCACGCAATCAGTCCTCCTTATTAAATATGCATGTGACTGGTAATTCTATTGCTCCAGGAGCTTCGTTCGAGTTAAAAATTATGCTGGCTATCTCTCATGACCACAGGCGTGAGCCTCCGAGGTAGACCAAGCTAGGAGACAGTTAGACCAAAGTTGGTTTGCGATGCTGCCTCTTCTTGCCACCTTGCATTCCTCTAGAGTTTCCATCTACGAACATAAAATGGTCTACCTATCTGGAAAGGAGGGAATGGAGATACTGTATATTACCTAATCGGTACAATCATTCAAGTGTCACTGTCAGACACGGTGTCGTTAAGATTATGGATGGTGTTCTGGCAGGAGACAACAGTGGAACGGTTAACAAAACTAGGAGTGCTTTTGCTGTACGTAGGAGACCTGGAACACAACCAGCAATGGGACGTCTTTAGTCTTCTCTAAATCCAGTTTAAAGTGATAACGCTAGTGTGGTGGTGGTGGTGGTGTTTTAAGCGAGTTGTGGGTCACTCATGTTGTTCCAATTTCAACCAAATTACTTGAGGTTCATGGACATAAGTGCGGAAGATTTTCGTGATGACTATGTATGTGCACCATTGTATTCCGTGCCCTAGTAGTGTCTTCTTTCACCACAGCATAGACAAAAATTTTGCCCTGCTGGTAACAGAAGGCGGACCTGATCCTAAAAACCAACTTCTTCGAACGTCAAACCCTTAAGGAGATGGAAGAAAACCATATTCTTTCCATGGCTGAAAAAACTAATGACTCTCAAAAACACTAAATTTCGATGGCCATCTGCAACTTCTGGGATCATCGATTTCAAGAGGATCCTGTCCTTCTGCAAAATTTGTACCAAAGCCACCTTCGATTCCCACAGTACAGTAACAATGAAGTTGATACGCGAGGAAACATACTTTATCTGACTAAATAAAACAAATTTAACCGAAATGCAAGTCTTCAATCATGCTTAATTCCTTCAATCACTGTCACTATCTACGTAGAAAGATGTACTCAACTTTGGTTACCTTCACATGATACATCAAAATTTTGCTCTTGTAGAACCTGTTGATACTTTGCTTCTCCCTAGTTCGTTTCGTGGAACTCTAAGCCTTTCCATTAGCACTTGCGCTTAGTAGTCTCTTCTTCGACATCCTATCAGTATTCTTCATATCGGCATTGCTCATATTTTTTGCACTGCTGTTTATTATTATGTAACAAGGAATTATCGAGCATAGCGCATTGTAGTGCCTCGTTCATTTGTCCATTTGAGTGACTGGCGGTCAATTTGGGCTGGCCATCAAGCCAAGTGATAGTCCTCTCTCCCTCTTAGCCCTAGACCCCATGGGACGAAATTCCTACTTCACTAGTCGGTTCCGTGTGTGGTGCAACATTATTTGCGATTAGGCAAGGGCATGTTTGAAAGTTTAAATTAACGATAAAAAACATTTGAACAACAGACAACAATGTGTACTAAAAGCAGGCAAAGTCGTGAAAATAAATCTAATTTCTAAATTCGTAATTAGCAAATTAGTTGGTAAGTCTAACACACTTGGTTTGCTTATGTTAGAAAAGAGAGCTGTCGCAGTAAAATATGGCTGAAGCCTTGGTTTGTTTTCTCGCACGTGAAGTGCGCGGTTGTTTCGTCGATTTTTTGTATCTATCAATTACGGAACCGTTGTTTGTACATTTTACCAAATATTTCCTAGTAATTCAGAATTATATCATTCTCTGTAAGTGAACATCATAGTACGCTATTCATTTTCTAGCCAGAAGTCATGCAGAACAGCTATACCCCCTATCCACCTCGTGGTGTTCCTCAAAATAATCCTAGGACTGGATTCTACCCATCGACGCAGCCTACAGGTCCTCGTTTCTACAGCTGGCAATATGGGCCTCCAGTGTATGAAAACACGTCAAACTGTTATCTGGCAACAGATTTTCAGCGGCCTCCTTGTCAGGCCTTTTCGGGTACGCGATCCTCGGGTGTTCCTCATCCCGTTCACTATCCTAATTTTAATGTTCCTCCTTGTGGAGACTATCCAAATCCACAGCTCGATAAAGATTATAGACAGTCCTCCGGTCGAGAATTTGAGCAGAGTTGTATGGAACATCAAAATCTGTTCAATAGTGACCAAGGTACTTACTATTCACAGTCATACAATGAGTAAGTAATTTTCTAATTTTTATCATGTAATGTAAATGATAGTAACAATTCTACAAGTTCATATAAGGTTTTCATTGAGCACAGGATAAATTTCGTTGTTCACTGTCCTAATGGAGAATTCTGTATTCACGTCACTCTTTTCTAACAGCCTGCCGGATCGTTGCTCATTACTTCGTTTTCGAATTTCAGGGGGTTGTCGGATTCTCGTCATAGCAATGACTTCCATGCTGATGACGTTGGATCGTCGTCCTGGGAGCCTCAAATCCGCTTCTCCGGACCACCTCGGGATCAAGATTGGCGTAGTTCTCAGCCAGGTCTCGAACCCCAAGCATCCTCTTGGGGTAGTGGTACTCCATATTACAATTATGGCTATCATCAAGGGGATCGGTACCAGAATGGTCGTGAACGCTGTGTAAACCAGGTTAGTGTTTTGTTTCGCAGCTTTTCCTTTCTTAATACGTGTATAATGGCATTGCATACAATCGTTTAACCATAAAGCTCTTCGCCTTTAAACAGCCATTGGGGTCTGTTCTAATAAGCTATGGCAAGGAGATGTGGTGTCGTCCTAAGCACTTTGCTTCAATTTCTAATGTCGAAAATTGGAATTGGTAATAAGGCGCTGAAGTGGTTTGTCACATCAATGTATTCGCTGGTTTAGTTTCAATGCCGCGAACGTTCTCGATCTCCGCCTACAAGCAGAGACCTAGACTACAATCAGCAATTTTGGTGTCGCTCCGGAGCTAGTGAGCGCCTCCCTTCTTCGGGTTACATTGATCCATCGCATCGAATCCCATCGACAGTGAGTTCACAGAGGCCGCTATTCGCTGTTGCGCAAAGCACCACCTCTCAGAGAATCGCGTCAGAAACTCTTCTGATGAATCCTGGTCGAAAATCTCGACCACCAAAAATACTTGTCATTCTGCGTGGTTTGCCAGGATCAGGCAAATCAACTCTTGCTAAATTGATTAAGGTACGTTTTGGGTAAAGTTATGGTGACTACTCCCGAGCATTGCTCGCACATGGTCTTAAAGGTGAGCACCTTTCAGTTTCTATCACTACTCTTTTCTTGGAGCAGATGAATATCCAAAATGAGTTATCTTGGCTTTCATTCTGAACGATCAGTTGCTTTAAACTACTATTGATGGTGGCTGAGATGTTGCTGACTTTCTGGTATATAAATTGGCTCGTAAACTGAGCTTCCTTTTCCGGGACCGATTCTAACCTAGTAAGCATCAATGGCTGATTTGTAGTTACCATTTTTTCCCTCCAAAGGAAAAGGAGGCAAAGGCTGCAGAAGATGAGGGGAAGAGTGCTGCGGTCCGCGTCCTCTCCATGGATGACTTTTTTATTAATGAGGAGGGTCGATTTGTCTACGAGGCTGACATGGACGAGGTCTACCGTAAGCAGCTCGTAAAACTCCTTTCTCGGCAAATGGACAACGGACTTTTTAACTTCCTTCTTATTGATGCTGTCAATCGCTCGGCTGCCGAACTCGAAGAACTGGCCATTCAGGCTCGAAGCAGGCATTTCCAGGTTAGTCTCGGTTATTTGTTATGGACACTTTGTGGTTCTACGTGGGTGACATCGGAGGAGATAATAATCGCGCCGCATATGCCAAGGGATTGGTAATTATGATGCACATTGTGATGCCCCATGCTGATGCTCTTCTTCTTCTTCCAGGCGACCAAATGGAATTTTGTATTTTTACTTAATTTCACCACAAAAATCGAGTTTCTTCGGTTATCTAGATTTGAACAACGTAGTGTCAGATGCCGTGAGTGTGTCTAAATCCATCCCCTCTGAATTTTACAGGTGTATGTCATTGAAGTTAATACCAGTCTAACTATCTGCCTTAGTCGAAGTGCTGGACGCAGATCAGAGAGTGATGTCCGTGCCGTGAGTTCCACTTTTCACTGAAATGGATGGGTGGACGTATGGTTGTGGTTTACTTCTAATTGGACTGCTACCTCAAGTACTTGATTTAGTGCGCACTTAAATATTTGTACATATTGTTTTAAATGGACCATTCCTACTTTAGTCTTGGCTTTCACGCTCTGGAGTGTATACCTATGCAATCGAGGTTAAAACCGACTCATTTGTCCTCAGTTATGCATTTTCTTTGAGAAAAAGATCGTATACATGGTCATGTTCACTAACGTTAGATTTTTGCGGCATGGGAACCAACACCGAGTCGTTACACCATTATTGACGCCAACTCCTTGCAGCAGGAAATAACTGCTGAAGAGGTATGTGGGCTTCCGTGCATAACATTGGATAAGTTGAGGCAATCGAGTAATGTTCTAATGATTTAATAAAGGTTGACATGGAAGCGGATAGTGGCACCGAGGAGGGGGTAAGTCCACTGTCATCTCCTGCTCCAGCGCATTCTGGCCCTGGGACACGGGAAGAGGACCACAATAAAGCCGGAAACGAGAAGGATAGTGATGAAGATGATGACGAGGACATATCGCGTGGCGCATGGGGATTGCTCAAAAGCAAGTGGGATGATGACGCCTCCTTTCAGCGGCTTGGTGAGACTTTTAAACTCATGGAGCTGAAGTGCTGTAGTTTATACAACACCTTGAAGCCTTTTTATCTGAACTACAGAACGGCTGGATGGACTTAAACGAAAGCTGCACCACTCGAATTCGTCAAGCACCCTTTCAATGGCTGAGTACCTTAAAGATGATGCCTCTCAATTTCGGAGGAGGAAAGAGGGAGTCAAACGAGTAAGCTACCCTTTGTCAAATTTTATAATTCAATTTCGCATCTTTGTTTACAATTTTAAGTGAATCGAGCGGAACTTGTCCAATCACTTGATTGACTTATTCTTTATTTGCTACTAATAATAGTAAGTAGTGAGTTTTCTCGCCTTACTATTACAGGTGACTTGGGCTGACATCGAGGCGCTGCGGGAGAATTCGCGCATGCGTGAGCTTGGTTTTGTCGTTGGACAGACGGATTGGAGTCGAATGACTGAGGAAAATGATGCAAAAATTGCATCCCAGGCCCTTACTCGGACGAAATATTTCTGAGATACTATTCCTTTTTCCTTTTATTTTTTTTAAATTTACCCTTCTTTTAATACAAAGTGCATCGTTTTACTCAACATTAGGGTGTTGGCTATCATGTCCTTGGTTCCTATGATATCAACGAACAATTCTTCTCTTTTATGGTCATGGTCCCGTGAGGGTCCCTGCAAGAATGGAGGGTAGTCGGTCGATTGGGACTTAAATTTCTCTGTTTTAGCAATCACTGGGTTTTTGGTCAGGTGCTGCCAATCGCGCCGAAGACGAGGTTCCCAAACTTTTTTGTGATTGCTGAACTTCTTCCGTGCGTGCTGAGTGAAACCTGTGGACATTTGTGAGAAATTGGAAAATGGGAGGAAGAAGGGGGGAGGGGAAAAACGACTTGGTTCCACGAGGTGACAACTTAGGCTGCGTGTGGTGTGAATTTTGATTCAGAAATCAGAGCGCTTTTAAGTTTATTCTTGTATTCTCTCTCGTGGATATCCGCATTCCTGTTTGATTCGTTTACTCGGTGGGCAAAACACCATCAAACTGTATATGGGCAGAACACACTATTGATGAATGGGAGCATATTGGCGGATGTTTGACGGGGCTATCAGTTGTACCGTTCCGTTCAGTTGGGTACAATCTCAAAACTATCTAGTATCCATGACACGCAAATCCAAAACCCTGTTAAATAATTCAGGGATCGCCTTCCTCAAAGGAGACTCCGTGATTTTACCAGTCACGGCTCCGCATCGCACTCCCCTCGTCCGACGTTAAGCCAACATCTCGCATGAACAGATGTCTTGTGGTCTCGTGCATCATTTCTCTCCTCCCCGTCTCCTATCTGCTGCGTCTCCACACGCAAAAAATAGAAACATGAAGTGACTCCACTCTAGATTGTGGAATGAAGTTAATGAGCTGCCGGTATGAAGGCAAAAGAAAGAGGTAGAAAAGTTCCTTAGAGCACAAACTGGTATTTAAGGTCAATCGGTTCTATGGTCTTGCATCGGTGCTGCAGAGGAAACTCCGGAAACATACGATCTCGGATTTTTTTTGCACTGGAGATTAAACTAGTGGATTAGAAAGTAAGCATTCAGCGGTACAGCATCTCCCAATGCAGCAAAGCCCCAAAATTCTCGCCCCAAGTTCATGTGGGATCGGCGTTATACCTGTCACAAACATCACCAATGGACATCCCCTCCCGGTTCTTTATTCCTCTCCAAGAACATAAGTGTGGCCATTTAGTGCTTGAACGCGAATTTTGATGAAAACAGAGGACATTAGAAGATTGTAGGCCCCAGACATTGGAAATCTCGTAAGTTATTATTCAACTAACTCAGTCTGACTCCAATACTGTAGTAATTCCACCACTCTGGTACAGATTGGGAGGCTATCCTCCAGTTTCTCTCAAAAGCAAACTCTAATTTCGCCACTTCATTCAACACTGGAACAACCGGTTTATGCAATTCCCTTTATACCTTCTATCAATTTTGCACCTTGTCAATTGAGGGTTTAATTTGGGCGACATCGAATGGCGTGGATGTGACTTCTACTGACAAATGATTGGCTAAGAAGTGTTAAGTGCATGGGCTCTCTCCCATTGGCTGGCCGCAAATTTGCGCGCTCGATGGGCGAGCATCTAGCTCACCGTGGTGGAGGCACGAATCAGTCCATCATGTTTTCAAGCAGCCCACTTGAAGCCTCCTCCTCCGAACGGCAGACTCCCTCCTTCACCATTGACTCCATCCTAGGACGACCTTGCAGCAGCTCCACTGAGTTGCATGAGGGTGTTGGGAGCCAGTGTGTCCCCTGCACCGCTTTCTCCAGACCTCCACTCTTGTTCAAAGCCAGCCAAACAATCACAAGTGACTACATGCACTTAAGCCGTCCTGACGCAGCAACCAGTTTTCAAGTTGGTAGCAGTTTAGACTCCGGTACGTTTTTTTATCACCTTTAAAGTGATAATCAGTACCTTTCCTCTTCATTTCTTTTTTCACTTGTCTATCGAACCGGCATAGCATGAGAATGTGGTAGAATCTTCTTTAAACTGATAAAATTAGCACTGAAAAGGGCTTTTTAAACGCATTCCTACAATCTTATGGTGTTACTCAGGTTCAGACAGGAGTGGTAACTTCAAGCATTGTTCTCATACCACGTCGATATTTATTAGCGCATGAGATGCTTTGAGACTCGCTGCTGACATTTTATAGCTTGATAACATTCTCATCAACTCCCGCCACAGCCACTAGTTTTGAAAGCTTGCTCAATTGCCATCTCCTTTTGTGCTTATGAGTGAGTAAATAAGTGTACTGGCTGGCTTTTGGTTTCCGCTTGCATTGACACTATCTCACGCAATACTTTCAAACTGTCAAATGCAAAGCCAACGCCAGACCAATTATGAGATTTTACATTTCGTTACAAACTCAGAGGACTTGCACCCTCATGGGGAGGGGTGGGGCTAGGGCAGGATTTACGCCAAAGTGCAATAAAATCAATAAACGGTCTTGGGTGGACAAATCACGTCTGGGACAGTAGGGCAGACCTACCGCGGAGAGGTATGCTAATCAATAATGGTAATTGTATTTTAATTTTGCCTGCTCGGCTGACACGAGGTAATAAGTTAAAGGAGCGCTCGACTGCGAACACACTTTCAACCCTATCTTTGCAGGCACGAGCATTCAATATATTTGTCAATTTTTCATGTAAACTTGTAAAAGCAGAGTGAGAGAAGTGATAGGGGCGTTCCCTTACTTCAAATATCGCCTCACTTATTAGTTCACTTAACTGCAAGTTTTAACCTTTAACAGCTACCAACTTCCAATGGGATGGTCAGAAGGTAAAACCGCAGTCACCATTCAGCCAATCATCTTCCGGAAAAAAGTGTTCCTTGATTGGTCGAAGTCCTAGAGTACCCTTTACACGCAGCCAGGTGGAGGGCTTAGAAGCAAAATTTCGCATGACCAACTACCTCTCTAGTCGGGAAGTCACTGTTTTGGCCAATCAACTCCAAGTCACCGAGGCTCGAGTAAGTGCAAGAACATGCTCCGTTCTTGATCGTAACTTTTAAGTTCACAGAAATCGCAGAGTGGCTTCTCTTGAGCCTCTTAAATCAGCCATAAGAGAGGTAAAACAATAAGTTAAGAGTACTCCATAACATCTTCAAGTGGATTTGTGCAGGTGAAGATATGGTTCCAAAATCGGAGAGCAAGGCAGCGGCGGGAGGCTTTCGTGCGCGAGGTGGAGCAGACAACGCAACAGCAGTTGCAATGCGACAAATTAAGCGCCGTAGCACCACAGCCAGTCACATTAGCGCCGGATCAGATACCACAACTTCCCCTTCCACCTAACATACCTCCCCTTGAAAGCAACCTGCTCCAACTGGCCTCCGCCTCGCACAGCATCATCGAGGACGCCTTCACGCGGTCCTCATACGCTATGCAGGACCTATCCCATTTGTACCACCACAACTTCCATGAAACGCGATTCTAGGAGCTGAAGGAAGAGATTTGCAATCTGCTCCTTTGAATTTTTTTTCAGCTGTGTAATAAAGCTTGACTTATATTGCAGAACTAGCCGATGCGGATGCCGGAGGCAGGTATTACTTGCATGGCTCTTCAGTTAGCGGTGTGTGGTGCGTGCACCGAAAGCTCTTTGATGTCAAGCGAGAAATGGTCTCCATCATTGATGTAATAAACGCGAATTGGTGACTCGGGGCTAATTGACATTCATGACGCAGAAATGAGTGATAGACAACTATGAAGGCCAAAAATGTCCACGACGCATCAATTCGAGAGTCAAAAAGCTGTAACAGCCTTCCCCTTGAGAGGAGTATTTACACACCATCGACTCGAAAGCATCCCTTGACCTCTTCAATCCAGTCCAAATAGGAGCAGCGACATGTACGTGAGAAACGCTAAACCGAAAGTTGATATCGTCGTAGCACTCACAAGACCCTATGCCCACCATGCGGACCCCTGACCCGACTACGATGACTTACCCTGTGGAGGTCACGCAAAAAAAGAAGAGAAATGGACATGCACGAGCTAGATCCAATATTCTGGTAGACTAATAGTCGAAAGACACCCGTGTATGACAGCAGTCACAGAACCCGTCCAAAACAGAAAAGCTTTAGATTTTTGACTATTTTGGCGCAACTCAATGTATTGCTAAATACATGGAATCTAAATTGCAGTATAAGGTGCACGATTTGCCTACCTCTAGTGACAATAAGAGAAACAACAAGATACCAACAAAGGTGGGAGGGAGAATACATCATGGCGCAACAGGTACAATATGTACATAACTATTCAACAGCCAGATTAGTTAGCAAACTCTCATCCTGTGGCATTTCAACGACCTCCTCCTCTTCTATCACCTCCGATATAACCTCACCACCGACAGACGGATTACCGTGGTCGGAATCGATGAGAGCAGAAGGGGTGACATCATCACCGAGGGAAGTTGAGACAACGACCTCTTCCTCCACCTCCTCAGGCTCGAGCTTTATGCCAGCAGGTGGTGAGTACAATGAGATCTCCACACCACTTGCATCCGGCACACAAACGTCAATATCGTCAGTAGGGATGGATGATACCTCATCGCCAACTAGCATGCCCTGGTTTGAGATAAGCGATCCGGGTACAGACAGGGGGAATGCACATTCTGGTGTTTTCGGACCCGAAATAACCTGCAAATGTAGATGAATGCATCAACAGAGAGTTCAAGCAAACAAATAAACCTGGCAATACGATCGCGCTATCGCCCCAAAATCCACACAAATGACGCAAACGGCAAGACCTATTATTTGACAAAAAGGCTCACTACGGCAGCTAGAACTAAATAGTTTGCGGTATGGCTAGTCCAATCTGTAGCTTTACATAAACAATGTGAAAATTTAGAAACCTACCCTCTGAACTTGAAACCATGCCCTACAGCTAGCTATCCGACACCAGACGAGTAGATTCTGCGTTAAAAGTCCAGGTCTAAGTTGTTGGCCGAAGGCAAGTACCACCTCAAAGTGGGGCTTTGGACCCTGACCCAAACGGTAGTATTCCAATTGCGCGGCAAAACGCGGATAATCGAAGATTTTAACGCACTCCCTGCGGAAAACCTTCTTTATTAAAACGTAGTCGCCGACACCCTCGTCCAAATAATAGGCAAAAACAGCACAGCGGCACAGCCGCCTCACATATATGCTTCCATCACTTGAACTGGCTGTAACAACAATCCCGCGAATCATATTACTAAGCAGCATATCAACGTAAGCACGATTTTCATCTGCTACGTTGTGCGTAATCGCCATTTCGATAGCATCGGGAGTGCTTGTAATAGAAATGCTGTCTGGAGGATCGGCCACAGGATTGGCTGCCAAAGCCTCATCAAACCGACCAAAGTAAATACAACATCCATTTGGGTTCGTGACAATCGCGTCCCTGACACGGACGCTAAGATGTTGAATACGTACGCCTAGTTGATGAAACTCCGGCTCCATTATATCGGGAAGAAGAGGGAGATAGGAAGGAGGATGAAGAACTGGGATAGAAGGGGAGGTCATGGGATTCGAGTTAAGATTAGAAAACTGAGGGGAGGGAGACGATAAAACCTCTTGCACTGCACCAACATCAAGAGAGTCAAGTGAACTGGCGTTTACTGGATGGACATGTTGGGATAGCAAAAGGGGGGCATGAACTTGAGAAGAAGAAGGTAACAGGGAGCGAAGACTAAGTTTTTTAACAAAGAGTTGGTCGCGTCGACGAACAATGGCTAGTGGCCTGTTCTGATAGGGCGCACTATCATTCCTGGCCAACGAAGAGAGACGACCAATCAAGATTGTGGGACGCCTCTGATGCCCAGCCGTAGAAGAGTTTGAACTTCGACGCGCAGAGAGGCTGTGCACGTTGAAAGTAGTCGCCAGCTGACCCAAAGATGGCAAACCATCAAAGATCATACTGGCATTTCGCGTAGCATTGGCACGCCATAATGATTCCGTCTTACTTATAAAACGATATACCTAGGTAGAGTTGCAGAAATAAACGTCGGACGAGATTCGAGACATAGTAGAAGCAAGTCGTAGAGGAAAGATGCAGATAAGCTCACTTTAAAGGGTTCATCACAATGGAGATTGTGCCGCTGTTTGACTTCCTGTATATCCGGTGCTTTGTTTAGGGCGCATCTAAGGCGAGTTTTCCACATGGGCCAATCTGGATCATCAATGCCTTCACGGTATCGACCAGTAACGACCGCCCAGTCCTTGAAAATAGCCGCATCTTGCTCAGTCCATGTGTGCTTGCTGTGGTGTTTCCACGGTATGCGAAATATACCCTTCTCCTGATCCACCCAACACAGACCCTCGATCCATCCCTCGTTCAGTCGACTTTCTAGCCATGGCCGCAAACGCACACGAATGTCCATCCTTGTCAGAAAAGCTAAAACGCACAAAACTGAGAGTGGTGAAAATACCAGTGAAACACAAAAGAAAATATGAGAAGCCAGTGTCTGAATGAAATACAATTTCCGCGAAAAAAGCGGATGAAACAATTAGTTGTGAATACACCGGGGCGACCACGGAAGTTCCAGCAACAGTTCAGAAGGCAAATGAATAATAAAGCCAACCCATCATATCAGCGTTAGCAGTGGATACGCTAGTCAAACAATGGCAGGCAATATAGCTCTTAATACTACGCTACCGAGCATACATAGCCAAGTTATGTCTTCAAGAAGCAGAACTAGAGTATATTTTGTCGAGTCTGCATACATAAGACAGAAGCTCGAACAAAAACCTTGTGATTTCAGCTGGAAACCAAAATGTCAGAAGCAGACAATAGAACAAACTGATGCATGGATCCAGATCCCTCATGTTACTAACTGCTTGCGGATAGCATTGCTGATTAACACTATAGAGAAAAAATGCAGCCGTCTAGATATTAGGTAAATCAAATAGCACACAAGACGGCTAACATGTGCAACACTTGGAGGAAACATGAAGTTGCATTCAATTTGAAAAAATGTAATGCACCATGCAGTACAAAGGTTTTCATAGCGATATAAAACACGCACTTTGCCATTGATGCTTGAACTTCGCAAAAAACACCCATATCCGGAAAAGGACCAAAACCGAAAGTGAAAAATGAGGGCAAACTAGAAAACGAAAACACTAGACGACTCACGGTTGTTTCGCGGGCCCAGAAAAACAATTTGCACATACCTACATCAAACAAATTTCATCTTAGGTTCTGTAAATTATGTGTTAATAATTTTAATACACAACGCATCATTTTATTTCTGATTAAGTTAGGCTATATACTAACCCGATTTTTTATCTATCACTTGCAGTTACCAAGATTTCACCTAATTCGAGGTACTAGAAGATGCGATAATATTACCATGCTCGTAGATGGGCGACTACATAGAATATTATACTTTGTTTGAGTAATAAGCATTATTTTTGTGGTTTTAGCCGGTCTTCTTGCGTCATTCTTCATCGCATGTAAAAAAATCTGAAATCTGTGAACTGTTACAAAGTATCATCGATGTCATTCCATGTTGCACTGTATGCATCCGCAAACTTTTGAAATGGTTAGTCGACTTTCGAAGACGGTAGGGATGGAAATTTGCAAATCAACAAAAGTTATGCGGTTGCATATGAAGATGATGCTGACCAAAATCCGAGAGCCTAAACGATCTGGGCAAGGTGTCATTTGCTTCCGTCTTTATTGAAGGCAAGAAATGGCACAATGCTTGCAAAGATTGCATTCACATTCAGCAGAAAAGGAGATTTAAGCGCCTCTCGTGTGAGGCGATGGCACTATGGGCAACTAACTTGCCATAACCAAAAGCGTCAGCGAATTAACAACAAGAAGCTGCAAACGCCTGCTTTCTCGGCACAATACTCTGGTGAACATTTATGCTTCGAAAAGAGGGGAAGAGGTTGGGCTCCGGCATGACACGTATGCCGACCTACCCGATGGAAGCAAGTTAATCGTCAAAATGACCTGGGATCTTCCTTCCCTTTTTGATTACTTTAAGACGTGGAGTGTGTCGAGAAGGTTCTAAAGCTTTAAAAGCATTTAGAAGCCACCCACATCCAATGGAAGCAAACATTTCTTCGGCACGTTTTTTGAGCAAGGTCCTGTGCTAAGTGTAATAGTAATCAACTAATGGAGTGTAGAGGAACAAGTACAAATGACATTCCGCTTGTGGGGAGGTATTGACGTTGCAATGCTTTGTTTATGTTACCGCCTGATGTTTGGCGGTCACTTTAAGATTTTTCTGGCCCTTATATACATAGACTGCCTTCTTCTACTCGGGGCGCTAAAGACAAACACCATTCCGAGGACTTCATTGCTAGAAATTTTATTCCCTTAATGGCCAACTTGTAGGCATTCTAGACTTTCAAATTTCTATGTGGAACACAGCAGTTTTTAAGATTTGTGATTCAAATGTCAAATCCATAAAACACACCCGCTAGCATAGCATTATCGAACCTATGCAATGCGATCATACGTCCCTATCGCAATCACATTCACTCCACTATTCCGTCTTTCTCTCTGCATTCAACTGACGTCTAGAGTAAATAGAGCCCTACTCTAGCGCGCGGATGATGTTATGGAAACAGCATATCGTTTTATTGCCACATTAACATTCACCGTTCGAGTGTACAACCGAAGCGACTGAACTCCTCACAATGCCAGCAACGCTTGTGCGGACCGAAAATGCACACATCTCCACGTGCTATGCCGCTTATCATCATTAGGGAAGTCTTGAGGTGACACACTGGTGGCAGTGAAAGGAGGTGTCAAGCCTAAAGGCCGTTCACTACACCAGCCGTAGTCATGAAACACTCACCAACAGCTTGTCACGAGGTTGCATAACAATGAATGAATGAAAATGTGATACCACAAATTAAATGAAACACAAATGGATGCAGCTAGGCTGTATTGAAGAGCATAACAACACTGCATGGAGGGATAGGCACGAGATCCTACTCTCACAGAATTATGACAAGTTCTGCTTCTTTTCATTGCCGCCTACTTTCAGACCACCGCTACCATGACAAATGAGTTATCAAAGACCAAGAAACTCCAATTTCAACAGCATTGGCACGAGTGTCAATCATATTGGTTCCAAACGCTGCCATGATCGACATGGGAGACCAACAACACCGACACCAGTGACATCCATGCGATAAGCTGAAGACGTGCTGCACACTGCGTTAGTTGCGCACAGCTTTAGTTACCAAAGTCCAGGTTGTGATGAAGTAATCGCTTTGGTGCTCCTCCACTCCACCATCCATTGGGCGACGCGACCTCCGGTCATTATTTCTGCCATTCGTGCTCAGAGAAGTCCACAGCCACTACATGGAGTTACAGTCTTCATCAAAAGCAGTAGCTCTGTCTTTTTGTTTCTCCGCCTCTTCTTCCTTGAGTACTGGAAAGGATATTAGCTTTCTCAGCAAAAAAAAACTTTCAAATACACCTAAAGTGTTTGGTTCATCAACTCTTGCCCACTGTATTGAAAGGCAAGTCAAACGGGAATGACATCGGCATTGAACCGAGCAAGATCAGGAAGTGAACTCACTTGCTACAGTAAAAGCATATGAAAATTTTAACAAATAAAAATTATTTTGTTCGATTAAAACTAATAGCAGTGGTGGGAGAAGCAGTGAAGGTCAGGCCGAATCTCACTAGGAGGGATACAGCTAAGGCAGGAGGGGAACACGATGGCTTTTTTGCCCCCATCCCCTTCTCTTATCGTCTTTACGTTCACCATTGTCCGATTTAAATTCAGTGGAACCCTCCTCCTCCTCTCCCCCCTCTCCTGACAAGCGAATGTCGACGCCTATCCCGTAAGCGTTGATTTGACAAAATGTCGCGCCTATGAAAGGGCGACAGAGTCAGACAAACAACCCTTGATGTGACTGGCTGCACCCACCAGAACTCGAACCCGATAAAACTCCATTTCATCTCCTTTGTTCTATCACTATCTCAACCACTCGTCAACTTTAGCGGTAAAATGTCCAATTGCCTGGTACCGCTTCACATTTTATCTCCTGATCTCCTCCTCCTCCTCCTCCTCCTCCCCCACTCACGTCCCTTACAACTCTTGAACTTGCTTGCCCATAAAGTTTGGCCTTCCAAGTTGCACCAACACGGTGGTGACCACCTCGAACACTTGTTGAAGGCTACGCTTACGTGTGAGGAAATTCTGGCAGCATGTTTTCACGTCTCTCACACTTTCTGCCCCTTTTAATAGCATCTTGGTTCGGCAGAGGTTTTCAGAGGCCCACAATGCCAACTAAGAAATCAAACGTCTCTAACAATGCAATGCTTTTATTACAAAATCATGAAAAATAAAATCTTGAACAATGATCAGTGTTACAACTGTTGACAGGATCGGTTCACTAGGAAAAATAAACGCATGCATTAGTGCAGCTTACTACTCTACCTTCACAGTTTATGCCTGCAATGTCAGATTGTCAAAGAGGGTAGCGCGATGTTTGCACACTCACTACACCATGACTATCGTGAGGTACGACAAAATGACGACCAAAATCTGTCATGTCCACAATAGTCTACGACTTTTGGTAAGTTGAGTAAATTGTTGTCAAGACTCACCAAAATGTACATGGAACGGGTTCAGGAGGGCCGATTATTCTTGATTATGGAGGTTCATGTTTGACTATGTGGTGAGAAAAAAAAAGAGGAAAATACTAATAAACCATCACATCACCGAGAAAGGAGAAGATCTGTTCAGTCCACTCCCTCGAGGAACTTACGGTGTACTCATCATCATCATCACTCAAATGCTCCATTCTTCGTTTGAGAGGTGAACGATTCTCCAATTGAGGTCGATTAGTTGGTTCCAACGTGCCACTCTCATTTCCATCAGCTCGATCACCGTCCACTGAACCCTCCTTTTCTGGTAATCGCATCATTGAACGACCCTCACGCACCCGAACCAGGAGCATACCATCTGCCAGAGGCAGACAAGAGGGTCGTCGATTGCCGTAGAGGGTGTAGTAGAGATCGGTCAAAGCACAACGCAATCTCGAGTCTCCAGCACACCCATAATTCATTAACGACCAAATTCGATCAACCAACTGTGGTGTATCAAGTCTACTTCCCGCCTCTCCACGGATAAATGGAGGTGTAGCAATCAGCAAACGAACTGTTTCATACCGCAAACGAGGATAAGAGGCCTCCGAGGTGCCTTTTTTCTCGATGATTTCGCTAAATAACCATTCTAAAGCGGCCTGGTCTCGTTCTCCGCGAACATAGTCGACGAGGCATTCTATAGCAGCCAGACGCACATCAGTGTAATGACCAGAAGCTGCAGCTTTGTAAAAAAGCTTTGGATCAACTGGAAGGAATCCGAACCGTTGTAAGCGCCGTATTGCAAGGAGACATGCCACAGTGACCATTCTCTTATAGCTTGGAATTTGAGCATCACGATTCAGGCATCTTGCCACCTCCTCCACCACGGTTCTCACTTCAATCGGCAAGGAGGAGACCGAAATTACACCACGCATTACAATAGCAGGTGTCAGTGTATCTTTCATTGCATTGATCAACTCTGCCCGGTAATAGCAGTCGGAGTATGCATTGCGAGAATTATCGTTGTAACGGTTCAACTCAACAAGGAAATTAAGCACATCCCATGGACACACTTGCTGAATACGCAGAGTGGCGACTGCACGAACAATGGCTTTTTGCAAAAAGTAGCGTTGTAGATTGGAAAAGTCGTTTTGACGTACAAGTCCACGGGTTAGAGGTGAGGAGTAGAGTTGCCAAAAGAGGGGGATGAGAACGGAGGAAGTCTGGTGGGTGTGGTGACTAGAGCTGCCTCCAACTCCACCGCCACCTGCGGACAGTCCCAGGCCGACACCGCCACCACCAACACTTGTCAGCTCATTGGCAACTCGACAGAGGGCAAAACAAGCGTCTGTCCGAACCCGATAGTAAATCTGGGAGCAAACGAAGCACAATCAACAATCATCAAAAACACAGCAGACTATCAAAGGGTTCCTATTTAACCATAGTGAGCATAATACTGGTTAAGACAGACAACAATACCCCTTAAACACAAAGTAGAGCAGCTGGAATGAGCCCTGGGGAGACAATACTAGGGAATTCAAGAATGTCACATACAATAAAACGATAAAAACTGAAGAGCAATTAGATCGGGTGGCGATATTGGAAGGTAGTTGCCGAAAAGTGGCTTTACACTGAAAATAACCACTCAAAAGGGACTGAGAAACGCACCTGTTCATCAGCGACGATATTGGAAAGAACATGACGTGTTTCCTGTGACGCACAGTCAATGAGAGCATGCACAGCCTCCAATTGGCCCAGACAGTCCCTGTCATAGGCCAACATAAGGTGCCAGGCGAAGTCGGCCTGTTCAGTGTGGATGCTGCGAATGACGGTGAGATCAGGATCCAATCGTAGCCAGAGAAGTGGTGAATCGGGGTATATCCGGCTAAGATCCATCTCCACCTCATCACCATTGGATAGGGGAATTTTCTTCTTTTTGTGTTTTCGTGACTTTGAGTGACACTGAAGGTCCTTAGAGGTTCGACCCTCTTCCAACTTGAAGGTATGCATGAAGGGGCCGTCAAGTTCTTGTAACATGGCTGTCAATGGACCTGTATAGTTTAGCGTACTTCGTGACTGCAGATCCTACAAGTGTAAGACGCAGCGATAATCATCATGCATTCGAGCTGTGGCAGCTTAAAAATCTAGATAAATTTCGAGGTCCTATTGAAAACATTCAATTATTAGTGGGCGTACCTGCTTCAACTCCAACTCCACAACATTCCGTTTCCTGTTAAAGAGGAACTTGGCAAAGAGACGAACATGTCCTGGCTTACGAACCCAATGATTGAGAAAGTTTGCTATGTCTTGCCCAGTGACGGTGGAGATGATGCGCCGAAAGGATTTGGTTGAGAGTAGAAGGTTGGCACGGTTCTCGTCACTCAACATGGGGGGTACAACATTATCCTCGGATGTGGCAGCGGCGTTGTTACTGTTGTGAGGAGCAGATGTGCCATTCGCAGGCACCTCCTCTTCTGTGCATGAAGTAGTAGTTGAGAGACGAGCCAAGACAAAGAGTTTGTTGAACACCTGTAGAAGGACACGCTGCCCAAAACGCAAACCAAGCATTCGAATCACTAGATGCGATTTTTTTATGTATGCACTCAGATAGTCCGGCGAGAGCACCTACAACAAGGAAGGGAATTGCTAAATCCCTTAAAAATATAAGGAAATCGAGGAGTATTTAAGGGAACAATAAAGAAAAGCCGTGTTTAAACATAATTTTGTCTAGAAAATCCATGACTTCCTAAGTATGTTTGTAAATGCTAGATCTTCATTACCCATAATTTATACCTCTATCCGAGAGTTAAGACGATTTATTCATGAACAGAAGAGTGCTGTCTCAACCTATCTAGCGTAGAAACTCACTTGTGGGTATTTCAGGCTGAAGTACGTACTCTTGCGTTGTAACTTAGTTGGATCCAAAACTATGCCGTTACATGCGTGCTCGTATCCAGTAACAGAGCGCATTTCATTGGCGATAAAATACCGATATTCATTATTACCAAATACGCGTTTCTGATAAAGACCAGCAAGGTAGCCGGCTATTCCATAGGGCAACCAGGCACCCGCCCATGTCTCAGCCTGTAGCGCACAACCAAAAAACTGTTGCGCCACGGCAAAAGCAAAGATACGACGGGACGTAATTGCTTGATCAATTATCCGAGGAGAGTAGAGCAAATCGACAGAGAAGACTACAAGAGAGGCGAACGACTGATGACTTTCGAAAGCACGATCGACAAACACGAAATCAAGGGAGTGGAACGGAAACTGTGAGGCGAGCTCGCCTTCATAGTATTCAACAATCCCTGCAAGTGATTGACAGCTATGTACCAAAAGACTGCGCAAACCCTTCGGACAAAAATGCGTTATTACTGTACTGCCCGTTGATTCACTTCGGTCAGGAACGATTTCAAAGGCGCCAACAACTAAACCAATGGCTGGTGCCGAAGTTGGCTGAGCGAGGAAAAATTGGTAGGTTTTCTCTCGTAAATCCTCCGTATACTCTGGCGGGCCAAGTAGTTCGCCAGGAGCTATTGCAACAAAATCATCGTCAACGGTGATTTCAATTTTCCAAGTGCAAGGTTCGCTACAGTCGATGCACGGAAACCAGGAGCGAGACGAATTAGGTGGACCGCCTGTAAAGGCATACGCGGTCGCTAAGGTACCATCTTCAGGGACAACAAAGTGAAAGCCGTATTCAGGACGCGTGAGCGAAAACTCTATGGTGATAAGAAGGGGTTTTTTGTCCTGCACTAGCCTAAAAAGAGAGGGTGGGATCCGCACAGTGAGTTCACCACCTCCTTCGTCAGGGTCTGTAGTGGATATAACTGAGGCATGTTGGGATTCAAAGTTATCCAGCGTCCTAAACTTGCAATCCTGTTTGCAAATCTCCTCGCAGGGGTCGGAAAAAACCACAGGCACGTCGACAGAGGGATAAATACGCGAATATGTGTCCGAAGGGCCCCGAAAGTAATCCTCCGCAGACTCAACGACAACTCGATGTATGGAACACTGGCGCACATTCAATGGAATGCGCCGAAGGGTAGTTTCTAGTGGCCAAATTACCAACTGGGTAAAACCAATCACAATGCGTTGAGCAAAGTCAATTTTTGGCAAAGAGAGTATCTGATGAGCAAGTCGAAAAGGCCTTTTTGGCAGTAAATTCATTGAAGGAGAAGTAGATTGATTCATTTCAAATGTTCTACGAACACAGAACAATGTAACATAAAAACGCCAAATCAGGGTCACTTTAAAAACAGACCCAAAAACGGTCAAAAACACTGATTACGCAGTTAAAAACAGATACGCAAAACAAGAAAAAAAGTGGCGCTGAAAAAATGGCAAAAATCGCAACAAACGGCTGGAGTCAAGTAAATACGACTACCAGTCGTTATAATATGATGTACCTCTTACGCGAATGAAAGACCGAAAAACCTCACAGTGCAATAAAATTGACCGCTTACCGCGATTGAAAGATTGAAGGAGAATGCAAAAACAGGACCAGGAGGCTAAATCAGTGACCCGTATTTTCATGCAGTTACACGAACACGAACTAGAAAATAATGTGATTCCACCGCTATTTTCCTCAATTCGGTGCTTAAATTTAGACATAACATTTCACAGCAATTCCCACTTTTAAAGTGGCAAAATTGTCAATGGTAAACGTAATGGAAGAAAACGAGGCTGACAACGTACAAAACCAGCAAATTCAAAAACGCGAACTAGTATCAGCGCGACCTAAAAAAAGTCACAGAGGTTTTAGTATGAATAGGTTGTAAAGGCTTGTCGTTCGTAAATCTAAAAACATCAGTAAGTGAAGGTCTCCTAATTTAAAGATTCTGTGGTCAGTTGATTTATGCAGTGCATGTTTTATGATAATTCAATGCAAAATAGGAATGAAGACGTAACAATGCAGGAAGCAATAAACTGGCAGCAGATTGACTTTGGGATTATAGTGTGCCACTGGGTAAAAAATACATTAAATAGAGTTGACTACATGCATAAGAAGCCATGGACAAGATAAAAGCCAAAGTGAACACTGGTCACTGTCTACGTTATAGCAACGTCGTCAAAGGCCTTCCCTCTATACTTTCTTCGCCAGTTAGCAGAACATAAACGGTACCCAAAGGAAACACCTACGAGTCGCAGCAACAGGACAACTCATACGATAAAAGAAAGCTTATTAAAGGCTTAATACGTACAAAGTGAATAAAATCGATAACAGAGACAATTATTCGTAAGAAGACTTGTACTACCGCAATGCCGCATGTTTGTGTATGTGACTGCCTGAGGTTCGACGGTCATTTGAGGATTTGTCTGGTCCTTATACTCGTGGAATGACTTTCGGGTCATGCCCAGGCCCATTTGCTCTTTTCTCTTCTGATTGCATAGATCCAGCCACACTTATTGCAATCTTCCTCCATCCTATGGGAAGTCTCAGGACGCTGCAGTGGTAACAACAGAATACGAATCGGATTTTTTCCCAGCTACTTCTATCCTAGCATGTACTCTTTGTTGCATGTGCCTACAGTACGGAAGAGGCGTAGTTGCATCGGTGATGCAGAACCCCTCCATCCCTCATAACGAAAGGCTTGAGACTGACGGCTGCGTTTGGCTTCACCTTATTCTCGTGCTCAACAGGCAAGCTATTAACTACTGAAGCGACACCGTCATGAACCAGCTGGAAAAGTTTCGTGGCAGATTATTCCTACCAAATCCGTGTTTAGGTGTTGGTAATGACACTACGGTCATCCTTACACACAACACAGTGGCTCATCCCATTTCCCTTGTAAGGCATATGTTGTAGACCAGAGTTCCACAGTCTATTACTGGAAGCACTTGATGGTCAAGAGGTGTATGCGGTCCCGAATCTGGTTGTCAGACCGAACGTAAATGCAGATGCAGTTGAAGCTATCGAAAGGACCAGGAACAGTTCCCCATTCTCAGTTGGGTGCTATCGTGTGGTACCGAGCATGTTGTGATAGTTGGTGCGGGAGGTGTAGGGGAGGGAAGGGGGGAGGAGGGGAGCACTAAGTAGATAGTTCAAAAGAAGAGAGGTGCAGTGTGAGGCTTCGTTTATGCGACTATTGAACCTTTGGCACTCACTTTAGGAGTTGTCTGACTCTTATACACGTGGGCTGTCTTCAGGCAATGCTCAGACGCAGCTGCTCTGATCTCTTCGGAATACATATATCCAGCTGCATTTATTAACTTCTTATAACGGCTAGGAAGGTTTGAGACGCTACATACATCATTCCTTTTTAAGCCGCATATTGTTTGGTATCTTCAGTAAAATTCCTGCACCAAATAGCATACTATTTCCTGTTTTGCGAGGAAAACTTAAAACCCAACTACATTAGTCTTTAGCTATCATTAGAACTTAAGGAGCAGTATTCATTAAACATACAGGTACGTTTTACCTAATGACAGGACTAATTGGGAAATAATAAAGATACTATTTGAGGCGGCTGTTCAACAAGGAATATAGGGTCAAACGTGGTTCCATTAGTGCCATTTGTAGAAAGCATAAGTGAGGTTAACTACATATATTTCGAAGACAACAGGACTAATAGGACCTGAGCGTGGCTTGAAGGCCAGCCCACGTGTACAGAGGCCGAACCAATTCTAAAGTGACCACCTTGCATCAGGTAGTCGTATAAAAGCCTTACACCACCTGGACAGAATTCGGTGTCGAAAAAGGAAATCTTTAAAACGAACCTCTTTAGACAATTTACAATGGAACGCAGGGAACGTCTTGACATTTCTCACCAAATAGAGGAAAGGAATTAAGTGGGGCTGGATGCAGGTATTTGAGTGAAAAAGTGGAAGAACGAGCCAGGGAGCCAAAACGAGAGTTGACGAGGGCAAGGCAAAAGTTGACGAATTTTCAGTTATGCGGGTGGCACCACAAGCAGCTACAGCGTTGGCTGGAGCCAGAGAGGTGCTGTCAGTGTTCCTCTGCAGACGAGAGAGATATTTCAATACTGTTTATGCTTCGCTTCAAATTTTAAAAGTGTCGTTTTATCACGCCCGATGCTGTCTATCAGATAATAGAATGAATGGAGCCGCTATGATGAAAGGCTTATATTAACTATGCTTGTTATTGGCTGACTAGTAAACGATTCAGGTACAATCACAGAAGTCAATGTATGCGGAAAGGCAAAAGTTGGACTCACTGATATATGTACATCACCTTTTTCGGCATCGTGCCTTCGTGATATCATATGATGTTATTGTGTTGTAGGAAAGAGCTAATCTCTAACCTTGAATTTTTACTTTTGACCTATGTTTTATCCAATCACTTTTGATGCGGCCTATACGAATTTGCTATATGTGATTGCCTCCACATGAGTGTTAGCGTATTTCTGTTTGTTCCAAATTTAATTGGTATGTTTTATGATGAATCTTCTATGAGTTTTATGTTTAATTTTTATCATATTTTTTCACTGCAATATGCAACGTGGTAGTAACCCCTGACTAATTCTGTATGATTGATTTGTTTGTAATCAGTTAAATTCATAGATCCAGTGCTTCTTATTCTGCTTGGATTCATCTTTCTGCGACATCAAATTATCATTGTTAGCTCTTGCGTGCCGCCATTTTTTGCATTAGGGTATGTTAGGATCCTCTTGCTTCTTTACGCCTGCTGGTACATGCCAACTGATCCGGTGCGGGCTGTTGTGTCCTACCTTCTGTCGGCACTACTCGATGCGGTCGATGGTCATACAGCCAGACTTCTGGACCAGAGTATGACTCTGATGTTTTCGTATATTATTTGTATGCACTTGCTTTCACCATGACGTTCAGTGTAGAATGGTTGTAGAATATTGGGCGCCTTCGCAGAATTCCACTAAGATTACGCGCTTTGAGTAGTCTGTCTCTTAATTTATTTTTGCTCTACATTATCATCATTGGCAAAAGGATTCGATCGTTTCCTGCCTTCTATCCTCTGGTTTCAGGCACAAAATTCGGCGCCGCGTTGGATATGCTTAGTGACCGTTGTACGACCATGTGTCTACTCTTTACTCTTGGCGTCTTCTATCCACACTATTTATTCTTCTTTCAGTTATCTGCTTGTATTGATATCACAAGTCATTGGCTGTTTGTTCAATCGTAAGCTTGTTCTTTTTGTTTATTGTCCACATCAAGGTCGATCCAAAGTGGGTCTTCTAGTCATAAGACAATCGGCATAGATGGTAACCCGCTACTTCGAATATACTATGCGAACCGAGTAGGTGACAACCTGTTTTACCCTGACGATTTGTTTTGACATGAATAGAAATTAATTTTGTGTTTTCATTAATGGGCTTTGTTCAAACTGTAGACTATTCTTTTCATTATGTGTGCCGGAAACGAACTCTTCTACGCTATGCTTTACGTCCTCCATTTTACTGAAGGACCCTATTGTAAGTCGCGTCCGACAAATTGCAGGAAGATGGGTTTTTATTTAAACTATTGTTTTACGCTTTCTTAAAGTAGTTTTTTGATGATGTCTAATGTGACTGTTATTGCTTTATACTAGATCGGTGTTTCATATGAGGGTGAATTAGTTAAAGTTGAGGGCTATTTAGCAGATCGAGCGATTCGTTTTCCTCTCATTAACATTGCTGATGCACTGCATGCGTTACTTTGTGTATGTTTTGATGATTCAGTTTAGCTTTCGCTGCATGTTTTTGTTTTAGTTTTCGGTCTAGGGCTGTATCTCATGATTCTCTATTTGAGTCTGCCTATCGCCCTTTTGAAGACTCTCGTTGGAATCGTACACCTCTACACTGCTGCAATTAACGTAGCAAGCATCGATGCTTTTGAGCGTAAGAAGTCACAGACGTTGCCGGTCAACTCGGACCAAGGCAAAGTCAAATGATTTCGAGGGTGTCATTTCTCTTTCCAAGTATCATTCCTTTGATCCGTCTTCGAAACTAATTCTTGCTCTCACTTTGTCGCTGCTGTGACACAGTGCGCTCATCGGGTCCACGTGTAATTCATCAAACTCATCATTTGTTAAACCGTCCCATTTTCCCTAACTTTTACGTCTTGGGACGCCTTAAAGTGTATTTACCTTTTGGCGCCAATGTGGATTTATCTAAGACTTTTTGCCTTTAACAGACTTAGTTCCCCTTGAATGGGGTCTGAACACTACAATTTCATGCTCAGCCGGATGTCAATTAATGTATTTCCATTTCCCCTTAAAGCATTCCAACTCTGTTGTCACCCAGGGTTGTAAACAAGCTGCTTCCGCTATTTGAAAATACGCTTTGTGGCATTTGTTTTGCTTCTTATTCCAACTTAAATATTCATAACAGCACCGGCTTCCATTTTCATTTGTTTTGTTTTTTGCTGGAGAAGGTGTTTTTGATTACAAGGTATTGAATTACTAATAATGCTAGGCGATATGGCTAGAGTATGGGCGCGGTCATAGTTCAAAAAAATAATTTTGTAGCAGGTTGAGAAGAGAATGCGTCTTGGGAAGTAGGGAATAAGGTTGGATTGGACTTTCCTCACTGCTTTCTAGCATAGGTCCATGTGATTTTTCTCTCTTTTATGATAAAGATTCACGCAATGTGCTCTTGCGTTCTACGAACTCCTATGGAGGAGTTGATTTTATGGGAGCCTTAATGGAAATATTTAGTCAAAATTGTCGTGTACTGTCAAACAACGGATCTAGCAAATGATGCCACTTCCACAATAGGCATCAGTGTACACTTATGTACGATAATCAAACGCTTTATCGGGACGTTTTAAAGATTGTTAAATCTCTTTCAAATATGAATACGTGAAAGCTTTGTTTTTATTCTTACGGATCAGCGCGCTCGCTCCGGTGAAATGAATACGGGTTGTGGTCCTTATTACCTCCTATTTCCATGGAATAGGTCCGCACAGGACGTAGGCAGGCATAAACCTTGCTATTCTAACCCGTTTTACTCAAACTCATAAATATCGCCCAAATTTCAACCAGAGCTAATCTTTGTGTTGCTGGTACTTTGTGAGCTGTCGAATGTTGGAGCATGGACACCTGGTTAATTATTACAATCCTTTTTAGCGTGATTCACCATGCTGGTCTTACAAATGTGTGTCACTACTGCGACCCTTTAGACAGCTGTGACGCTGAGATCTGATTGGTGCTTATGTGCGATTGGTAAGAATGCAAGTGCGTGCACTTGATTGGTTGGTAAGGTCGTTAAACAATTTCCTTGTGGTTTCCAACGCCAGTTCTGATAACGCTTGCACTGAATTCGTAAGCTTGCATGCATAATGACACGAAATGAATAATGCTAGGAGACATTGTAATTCTCATGTCTTGCTGGGTAGCATGCTTTGCAATATCGGATGCCCACTTTTCTAATACCCACTGTTACTGCGGTTATCAACAATTCGGACTGCTGTTGATGCTTCGTTGCGCCTCAAACAGGGAGAACCTTCCTGCATCGAGTTTCAATCCTGTTCCGTGTCACCGTGTCGATGATACAGTCCGCATAGGCGATTCAAACACCTTGACAAAGATCCAGGAGATTTCAGAATTTGCCCAAATGACCATTGAACCGTACGGCTTAAGTCAGCTACAGGACGGCGGTAGAGTTGCTATACTCCAGCTGAATCTTCCTCTCAAAGCGAAGCTGTTGGACTCTCTCGTTTTCGTTGGTCTTCCAGACTTGAAAACTCTTCATGCTTGGCGTGCACCGATCGCTCTTGAGTCATGCAGCTTAGCTGGACTCCCTTGGTTGGAGCATCTTGTAATTAACTGTTCTTCCACCTTTGATCGTTTTCTCACCTTCGGCTCTGCCTTTAAAAGCATCCGATTAATTGGCTGTCTTGGACGACCCCTCCAATTTATCTGCAGTCAGTGTATTCAGAGGCCGGAGTTTATTCTTCTCCGAATTCTTCCTGGGCCTCCTTCAACCAGAGATGTCGTGGGTTTTGATAGGTGGTCAAATTCTACCCAGTCAACCTCTTCACTTTCCTTACAAACTTGTCGACCAGGCGTCTGTTCTGATGACCACCTTTGCCGGCACAACTACCCACTCAAAATGGCTCGTAGTTACCCAGTGCAAGCCTTTTCACCTATGCCAAGCACCATCCCACTACCATCACCCTCAACTTCACCTCCTCAGTTTAAAAGTGGTCACCGATTTTTCACATTATTTCTGCCCGCTCTGTTGGTGCTTTTTGCTGTTTCGTGTGGCACGTGCATACTCATGTCGTTGCGGATTTCGCGAGCATTGGAGAGGAAGCGGTACCGACACCGAGGCCAAGACCACGCCCTCATTGATGTACATACCCCACAAACCTCCAATTGGACCAATTCTGTGCCTTTAAACAACCTTGAGGCCAAAGTTTAATGCATTTATTAACAAAATTCTTCTCTATCAAGCCTACATTCTTCAATCCTCCTCTGTCACCGTCTTGGGGGATTGTAAGCAGTGGGAACTGGTTCCACAACTTATCATCTTTATTTTCTACCTCGATTTCTCGGAGTCTAGTAGGTAATCGAGGTCACGATTTGACCCCACCACTTGCCTTCCCTCTCGATGCCAAGTGGCTCTTTGCGGTCGGAGTTTAATCGTACATTTTTTTTCTGATAGCTCACATACTACTTAATTTTGGCTCTGTGATCCATGTATGCTCCGTTTTTTTTTGGCGACTTCGGGCTTCGATGCGGCTTCTGAGGGAAGCTCCGAACTCAAACCGACTCTATTGGTGCCTCATTGTCAGTAGACGATGGCGGGTCATTTGTAACAGTCGGGAAAGAAGCTCTTTCCCTCACTCCTAGCCGTACTTTAGTGGATCCGAGGTTCAAAAATTACGCAGTGAGAGGCTTGATAGGCTCAGTTAGGTGGGACAATTTTGAATCTCCTCTACTTAAGCTTTTCACTATGGAAGGCTGAAGTGATTGTAAAAGTTTTTAACACGATTTTGTACTTTTGTCGTGACCTCAGTGAGACCTTGTGCAACCTTTTTGGTCACCGTTTGCCTCTAAACATCTTCCTTGCATTTCACTCCCTCGCCATTACTTATTTGGGCACATTTTTATGGAAGTGAGGCGGAGAATATGCAAAGTCGGCAGTAAAAGAGCAGGAATGAGCGCCATCACTTTATAGACAGTCAAATATTTGCCTTTTTTCCTCCCTCCCTGCCTTCAACTAACCTCCTCATCGTCAGTAGGCGATAAAGTCGCATTATTTGGATGAACTTGAGGTTTTGACGTGGCTTAGAGGGACTGTGGACTTTCAAATCCACGTCGAAGTGATAGAGGCGACATGATGACGGTAATCGTGTGACTAAGACCAACAAACTACCTGTTCTGTAAAACCATTGAAAAGGTTGAAGGGGCGTGGCCAACACCAAATCATTGTTTAGACCGTACACTGTTGTTTCAGGGTGTTCCTGAGGTAGTGGTGGTGGTGGTGGAGGACCTACATCACTGACATGCTGCCTGCATTTGTGTTGCTAGGTCAAGTCGGTGGCAGTTCATCACTTTCACTTGTATTTTGCGTAGGCAAACCTCCTTAATAGGTCAACAATGCAAGGCGGCAGGAAGGGCGTTGGAAAGGGACACTCTAACCAGGAACTAGGCTTTGGTAATGATGGATGTTGTGGGGACTTAGTTTTTTTGGTAAATCTGTTCCCTTACCCTGGTCTTGTGACTTCGAGCTACGTTTCGTCCGGAATGGGATTTGGAGGTACACATCAGCTCCACCAACTCCGTCTTGACGGGATGGCAATGCGTTGTCAACACACATATCCGTATGGTGAGAGGGTTTGTGGTGACATAAACTTAATTCTCTTTCATTTGGAGGTTAAAATTTGTGTCTCTCTTTAAGAGGGGTTTTAGTGTTCTACGATATTTCGAGCATTGAGTCGCCTTTCGTCGTCAATGGACTCTGCTGGTGTTACAATCGGGCATTGACTGGGGCACCGGTTTTTTGGCCAAGTCGGTTGGATTGGAGGACGAATTTTGGAAGCAAAAAGGCTACAGCAATTTTTATGCTTGTTTTGAGCAATTAACTTTAGTTTAAGTAGCTGTCATTTCTGCAGGTAAAATGATCTCTTGGGAGTTGTCACCCATGCGGTAGTTTGCCTGATCCTCCGTCAAGTGGAATAGAAGTCAGAGTGATGC